ATTTTCTTGACATAGTCTATCATGTCAATCACAACCTTTTCTGGGTCGGAAAAATCAACTGTCATCCCCAAGTAGTCATGCTTGGGACCACGGGTTGCCTTGACGGCTCCATAGGTTCCATACCTGTCATTGAACCATTCCAAAGTCCGGTCATTCACCAACTTCATTCTGTGGCTTGACATCAAATCGTCAACATGGAATCGAATTGTTTGTTGGTAGCCTTCGATCATCTGGTTGGCCACACATGGATCGTATGGGTTGAACACAAATCCAACTTGCTCGAGGTCACTTCTGAATAGCTTGTACCAAAGAAGTGCCGCCAAAACCATGCCATAAATGGCTCTCTTCACGACAACATAGAGGACAGGACGTCCCTTTTTGTATATCAGGAATGAAGCATAGGTGTTAGGATCAATTTCCACAAGTAGGTCTGCAAGGGTTCCCCCAATGATCATGAGGACCCTGTCTTCACCTGGTTTGACAACTGGCATTGGAGTCTGAATGAATGCGTTTGGAACATCCAGTGACATGACATCCCTGTCTTCCGAGGCATCAACACACATGGATAACATCAAACCCTCAAGTGAAACTGTGGGACTTCTGGCATCCTCCTTCTGGTGGTACACTCTTGTTGGCTTCCCATTGTAGACAGCTCTGGCCTTGACAGTGCCATCTCTTTTCTCAGTAACGAACATGAGTGCCATCTGTGCTTTCTTCAATTCAGATTCACTGCACTGGTTCGGGTCAATTTGGCTGAAACATACTCGGCTGTGGAGCTGGTCCATCTCTTTGAGTGCTGCCTCTCTTGCTTTGGTGCCCCATACTTTCAGACCCTTGGGTAGAAGATGTTGTTGGGCATGGCTGCTCTCATCCTTGACTTCTGCTGTGGCACTTTTCCAAGCGGGAGCCAACTCAAAGGACTCCTGCCGCTGGATCTGTCAACCAACACGAAAACACCTAATAGCAACAACGATAACAATACGACGGTCACTTCTATACCATCACCACACCTATTAGACCCATTGGAAGCATTGAAACGAAGCAAAAGGACCTCAGGAAGCTTGTTATCTGTTATTTCGTTGAAGAGTACTGTTTTACTATAGGAATCCACTCAACGTCATCACGGAAAACACACATCCCTTTTTCCTCTCTTTATCTCTTGCACTACGCTAAAAGCTAGTGTAAGATCTTTCGAGTGTTTTGAGTTTGAGAGAATGAAAGTTATGAGAGGGATTAGAAAGCTATGAAAACTAATCAACGAGAGAGATCATTCACGAGAGAGATCATCATCAAGGGATCGTAGATCTGGCTTCCCGCGGGGGGCTATAAAGTGTGATAGAGTAGGTTGTGGTAGTAAGCCTACGTCTCTCCACGATCCTAAAACGGAACGCGTGGAAGGTCTGTCTAGGCTGGATCTAGTAGCGTGGAAGTACTCCACGCTGGCTATATCTCTAGAGCGATGTTTCATCATCAACCTAGTATGACTAGCGCGGTCATTGAGAACCCTGTCTCAGATGACTATTCACGAGAGACTCAGTCATGAGTCGAACTCAAACCCTATCTAGGATCGAGTCGCGAATAAGGCTAAGAGCCGTGTATTGCACTCTCATAACTTTCATTCTCGCAAACTCAAAACACTCGAAAGATCTTTACACTAGCTTTTAGCGTAGTGCACTTCTCCAACTTCCATCATAATACCCAGTTCCAGTCAAAGTACCATGACTCTGCTAAACTACCGTACCTGGACCCCGAACCGCACCCAACCATGCTAGAGCTACTAGTATCCGGACCTGGAACCATAGTGTACCAAGCTAAAGCTACTAGTACCCAGACCCGGAACGGTACTTTACCAAGCTAAAGCTAGTAGTACCCGGAACCGGAACCGTATCTCACCATGATAAACTCTCTCAGATCTTCTCCAACTTCCATCATAATACCCAGTTCCAGTCAAAGTACCATGGCTCTGCTAAACTACCATACCTGGACCCGGAACCGTACCCTACCAGTACCAAGCTAGCTAGAGCTACTAGTATCGGGACCTGGAACCGTTCTGTACCAGGTAAAGCTACTAGTACATATGTACTAGGACCTGGACCGTCCGACGCTTTTCACTCAGGATTTAAAAATCTTCAATTGCTACGACTGACAACATCCTCTAAACAACCCCTTAAACAACCCCTTAAAGCTTCAACATCCCCTTAAACAACCCCTTAAATAAACAACCCTTAACAACATCCCCTTATATCCTCGAAACAACCCCTTAAGCCTCCATTGAAACGCCATACAACAACCCCTTATCACGAATGAACATCCCCTTAAATAAACAACCCCTTAACAACAACCCCTTAAATATTCAACATCCCCTTAAAAAAAACCTTAAAGCTTCAACATCCCCTTAAACAACCCCTTAATGAGAGCCGGGATTATGATTCAGTCGTGCCCATTTTAAAGCCTGAGGAAAACCGTTGGCGGTCCTGGAACCGGAAGCGTACTCGTACCTCCACACAAAAGCTACCGATACTAGAATAAATAATCGTAACCCTAACAGCTCAACCTGTGGTAACCCGTAACCCTAAAAACGTTACGACGACAGACGAAAAACTAAAATTCGGCTTTTTTCAGCATCGACTCCTGTTTCCTCAGTTTCCTCAGTTTGCTTGCTACTTGGATCCTTATGACGAATACATGCACAACCGAAAATATTGTCAATCCAGCCATTGTAGCCCGCTACCGTACAGGTACATCGGCGACAGTGTCAACAGTACCGAACACACTCAGGTTCCGCTTTACTTGCTACACTCCATTACTGGTACCTTGCATTGGATCATTATGACGAATACATGCACAACCGAACATTGTCAATCCAGCCATCGTAGCTAGCTACCGTAGAGTTCATGCATCGATCGGTGACAGTGGCAACAGTACCGAACACACTCAGGTTCGGCTTTGCTCGCTGCACTCGGTTACCTCGCATTGGATCCTTATGACGAATACATGCACAAAACCGAACATTGTTAATCCAGCCATTGTAGCAGGCTACCGTACAGTTACATCGGCGACAGTGTCAACAGTACCGAACACACTCAGGTTCCGCTTTACTGGCTACACTCCGTTACCGGTACCTTGCATTGGATCCTTAGGCCGTATGACGAATACATGCACAACCGAACATTGTCAATCCAGCCATCGTAGCCAGCTATCGTAGAGTTCATCGATCGGTGACAGTGGCAACAGTACCAAACACACTCATGTTCGACTTTGCTCGCTGCACTCGGTTACCTCGCATTGGATCCTTATCACGAATACACGCACAACCAAATATTGTCAATCCAGCCATTGTAGCCAACTGCCGTATAGCTAGTGGCAACAGTACTTGAGTTGCGCATACAGGAAAATGGGTACCGACACAGGAATCACCACCAAAACAGTAGGAAAACCAAAACAGTAGGAAATAACAAGAAGGGATGAATCCGGTAGGAGGATCCACTCTCTTGTGTGTGTGTTGTAGCCTCTTCCGGTGGCTGTTGCCTTTCAATGACTCGACGACGATCTCCTCCGTTCAGGCTGCTGATAAGGCTGGAGTTAACAGACTCCTCCGTAGTACCGGTAGCCTCCTCTCTTGTTGTTATCCGGAGCGATCGTTCGTTCGTTCGTTCGTTCGTTCGTTCGTTCGTTCGTTCGACCTCGACAATGGTAGTTCATCGGCCGTCAGCAGTGCAGCAGAGAAAACAACAAATAGATATGAGTTTTGTTTTCTGTGCTCAACTGAAGAAAACCGGCGACTTACCATTGTTTTTCAAATTCCACCAACTTGGCTGTCATGGGCCGAGAACTGACTGCCATCCCATGGTCCATAGGATTCAATGAGGGATGGCTTTCGAATCTGCACCGGAGACAGTCGGCTTGAGTGAGGCTTGGATAACAGAGGTGCGATCGATCGACTCGATTCGATAATTAAAACAACTCACCTGTTGACGGCCGAGCTTGGAATTCTCTCCTGAATACCATAGAAATCCAATGAGGGAGAGAAGTCAGCGCTGTACCTTCAATTAACACTCTTGATAATAGGCTAACCTCATTGCGATCGATTCGATTGATCGGTCGATTGAATAAAGAACTCCTCCTACAGTACTATTCCACTCTTGTTGGCCAAGCTTGGATTTCTCTCCTGTTTACCATAGGAATACAAGGAGGGAGAGAAGTCAGTGCTGCACCTTCAATAATAACACTTTTATTCCACGAATCAATCTAAAAATTTCGAAAGGGAACTTGTTACTTAACGATACACATGACCGTTGATTCTGCAACTGAAGTGCGGGTACACTAATTTACACAGTAAACGCGAGCCAATCGATTTCAGAGTGCAACTGAGCTACTCCGCAGCACAAATGGGGAAGTTCTCATTTACTACTTAGTTTTAAGAAAACAGGCAACCTAACATCACCTAGTAGCATGAAGATCAGTCAGCCTTTACGCCTTGGCATTAAGGCAAATTGCAGTATCTATACCCTTACATTTAGAAATATTCGGTGCAAAATTGACCCCTTCTAGTAAACACCCAATATGACACTATCAACTACACTATCTCAACAAAGTAAGACAATGTCATTCAAAACAACATCATTGCTGACGAATACCATTCAACAACTAGGTCAATTGGTTGGATATTGACTGAGATCTGGTAACCAGCAGATGGTGGCTTTTTGATCACAAAATCATCTTTCAGTCATGCTACTAGGAACATTCAGGTGGAATTCCTTATTTGTTTCCAAAGTGATCCAGAGGTTTTCCCCATTTTTGGGGCTTTCCTCATTTTGGCTGGGGAGTAGTGAGGGGGTAACCAAAAGGTGCGTCGTCTCAGGAGACGTAATTCTAAGAACCTACATGTAGCCAACTTCGTGGTTGGCGATCTTCAATCTTTGTCTCTTTGCCGACCTATATCTCAGCATCTCAGCTAGCAATCAGTGACAGTAGCCGGCCAGAAATCAGCAGCCACCATCATGACGAAATATCAGCTCTCTTTGCACGCTGACAGACTGAGAAAAGGATTTCTCTGGCGAAGGCCAATGGCGTATGCTGTCGTTATGGTGGAGAATGAGTCGAAGACTCTGGGGAAAACAGAAGTGGCTCAACCTGGCACCAGAGCGGAATGGCGCAAACCTATGACACTGGAGTTCAGCAGTGATATGCATGTTCCCTTTACAGTCGCCCTTCATGATTCACGAAATGACGACCGACTAATGGCCAAGGCCGACTTTGAGGCGTCTGAGGTCTTCAATTCACGTGGTCACATGCAAATGAAAGAGGATAGGAACGGAACCCAGTGAGTTACTTTATTGATTCGATTCCGCGCCTTCCTCCGTCCGTCTCATGCAACCCTGTCCTTATACTTCGTAATGGTCAGAATCTATGCGGATCTCCATGAGGCAATCCAAGGCCCGCACCAAGGTTACATTAGGCTGCAGCTGAGAGGATTGGATATCAAGAATGTTGAACCAGGGTTGCTGGGGTTAGGAAGGAGTGATCCGTTCTTTGAGATATCAAAGAAGAACTCTGATCACGCTGCCGGAATTGTGAGATGGTACGGTATGCATCGAATCGAGTCTCTGTTGCAAAAACGTTTGCAATTGCCAGTGTCGGGACATCATAATCCACATACATACAGTACTGACGGTCCTTTTTGTTTTCCCAGGAACTCTGTGTATCGCTCAGAAGAGATATGCGACCATCTAAATCCCTTCTGGGAGCCATTTTCTATAGGTAGGATTGGGCCAATGCAGCAAGACAAGCACGCGAAGCGGGTCCTTTGCTGTCTCTCATTTTCTGCCAATTGCCAATTAGGTTTGGAAGAGTTGTGCTATTGCAACCTCGACTGGCCCCTCAAAATTGCAGTCTGGGACTATGAAAATGACGGGGATCACCGTGTGATTGGTACGTGCCGTACAGGAAGCTTGCCTTGAGGACATTGTCGTTGGAGTTTTTCTCATTCGATCAAAAACATGGCTCTCAAGGTGAGGTTGAGGTGACAGCCCAAAAGTTGATTGATGAGGTCGCAGTCAAGGGAAACGCAGACCGAGAACGTGCTTTTGATCTAATCAGGGACGGCGACAAGACTAAACTGAAAGGAGTGTTATGTGTGCTGACAGCAGACCTGACACTGGAGAATGAAGCAATGGCGGCATAGCTCAGCATGACATGGCATCACCAGTTGCTAATGGTACGCGCAATAGAAAGTTTGCACTGATTTAATCGAATCGAATCGTGCAGTGGTATGATGAGGCTTGGATTTCCAACAGCATGACGACGTTTTTGAAAGATGACGAATGTGGCCAAAGCTAAACCCTCGTGTTCTAACTGTTACAATATACCTGTTGCCGTTACAGTCAGCCCTTCGAGATTGTCATTCGATCGGCAAGAGGTACTGACACACCCTCAACGTAAATGAATAAAGCTAGGAACCCACCAGAGTAGTCTTCTTCTTTGACATTGCAATGCCGTTTTGGTCAGCTGGACCACCGTTGCGGCGCGAGCGGCGAAGTTGGTCCCCTGGGCTCCCATTGCTCCTGGTCGTGCGTTGGTCCCCTCCAGAGTTCTCCACCGCATTCCTCCCAATACGCCTCCTCTTGACATTCACAAGTTTTCCATGCCGCTCGTGACGACCCTGAGCGCACACACTGCCAGAAGTGGGACCCTCTGCTACCGGTCTAAACACGCCTGTTCCAGCGCTGCTGGTATAACCAGGGTTGTTGGCAAAAGATGGCCAAGGTTCCGCTAAACTTGAGCCCACTGATTGCCCCAAGCATTCTCGTTCGTGCAGGTCCCTTTCCATCTCCGCAGAGAAACCAGTTGCATAACATTTCCTGCAAGCATACTCGAAGTCGAGCAGAGATCGCTTGGGGATCGTCTTTTGTTCTTTGTTTGCAGCTTCTTCCGCGTCATCCTCTACGGCATCGTAGATTGACGGCAGCGGTGAGCGGGCCTCAACCGAGTGATCATGTTCATCATGTGATTCGTCCAACATAGGTGGTATTCCACGGGGGCTCACAGCAGTTTGAAGACTTGCGTTTGTCCCTTCTCCATCTGTGCTTGCATTTGCCTTTGGTTCTTCTCCCTCGTGCTTGCACTCGCAAGGTGTCAAAGTGGCCTTCGTCTGTTCTCCCTCCCGCTTGTCCTCATTCAACGGCGGAAGTAGTGAGGAGATTTTGTTGGCCTCTGGCATCGTCCCATCGTGAACAGAGACTGCAGTCATGCCATTGCGAGGGGCTTGCTTGATGTTGGTAGCCCAGCCCACTGGAAGCGCTGTTACTACTGTTTCGATGTCGTCGTCCACGGCTGCTTCTTCGAAAACACAATTCAAATCAGCCCGAACAGGCCTTTTACCCTTTGCACGTTTCCTCCCGGGTGCAGGTACACCTTTCTTTTTGGGCGTAGGACCTTTGTTTTTCTTTGGCGGTCTGCCCCGCCTTCCCTTTGGCTTCGGCGCAGGTTCTTCATTCAACTTCACAGCTTCCTTCTCGGTTCGTTTTTCAGCTACGCCGATGCTGGCCTCCTGAGTTGGCAACGGCTTCGGAGGAATAAATACGTTGACGACGGTCTTTTCGGTTTTCTTTGGTTCAATCTCGTCGACGTCGGCAGCCTCAGATTGTTGTCGAGTGTTATAGCAAGTCACCGTGCCAAAGACTGTCAAATCTTGGTAGATCTTCGAGCAACACTTGCTACAGCCGCATTGGAAATCAATGACTTTGGTCTTCGTAGTCTTACTTTTGCTTTTTGTCGCATCGGCTTTGTAACCTTGGCTGGGTCGAACAGCCGAGAGATCGTCCCAAGTCAATTGAAGAGAATGCCCACCGCGACGGCTGCCATCGCCCCTGCAACCTCTCTTGTGGGATTGCAGCTTTGCCTTTGTGGGGAAGAGGCCATCACATTTTAAGCATCTGAGCTCCACATGAGAGTACACAAGACTCGATGGATACTTTGCATAGCCATCAACTTCGAACCTCTTCTTCCAACTCGAACTGGAGCTGATGGGCACGAAGAAAGTGGCAGCATCTGTCGGGTGTTTTTGGGCGTATTTGTATTTGTCAGCCTCCGCCGCTTCTACGAGGACAACATTCATGCTCTGAAAAAACAAGCAGTCTTCCCATGCGACTCCATCAACACAGGCAGCATCATATTCCAGTTTCTCGGGATCGCAAATCATTTGCAGCTGCGAAGTCTCCGTGAAACCTCGAACGCTTTGCACCAGCCGACTCAAGCAGTTTGTTTCCTTGCAGATGAGTTGAGCGCTGGCAAAGTCGTCATAGAGGTAAGGAACCGCAGATGTTTGCAGGTCTAGTTTTGTTGGAAACTCCGTTTTGAGACGTCCCTGCAACCGCTTAGGTAAAGTCAAAAGAAACGTGAAGAAACCCGGGGCAACCTTCGGTTTGCTTTGAACTTTTTCGAGAGCATCGATTGTACTCCAGTCGATGTTGCGTTCGTGTAACTTGGACACAAGAACAGCTACTCCTTCGGCAGCCGAAATCAGATCGAAAGGTTCGGTCAATCCAGCATACTTCCCTTGGCGGGATATTTTTGTTGTCGCATTTCCAGGACACCAACTGCGTCTCTCCAAGGCGCCCTTACACACTCCCATGGCCAACTCCAGATTTTTCTTCCAGTGATCCGTGCTACCCACTAGCTTCGCCAGGTATGACCTTGTTCCTTTCATGACCCCATCCACGGGGAATGTGCGGAGTTTATTCTGCTCGCGCCTTCTAAAACGAAGCCTCGACAGCGCCAGAGTGATTGATGCGTGATTGCCGGCCAATGGACAAGAAGTGCAGAATGACAGCAGGGCAATCGAATAATCCCAAAGCTGTTCTTCCATTTCATTTCGACTGAAGTCTTCTCTGGACAGCGACGCCTTGCCAACCCCCTTGCTTTGGTCCGTCGCACCGAGGAACACGCTCGTCTCGGTGATTTGGAGAAACAGATGCGCGTACAAACACCACGCCCCAGCAATCTTGTCTCGGAGGATTTTCAATTTCTGTGAATACGCAGGCGTTTTTTCGCCTTTAAGCTTTGGCAATATCTCCTCCGCCTGTGTATAGCACGAGTCTAACACGTCGTGACAGACAAGTAGTGCTTCCTGAATCTCCCCCTTTACCAAACTTGCACGCGTCAAATGATAGAGAACGCGCAAGTTGGTGTCTGCATCCTGGGAAAAGAGCCCAGGCTGTGTGGGTTGTTGTGGTTCGTCCGAGCCTTCCATCAGTGAAGGGCGTCGTAGCCCTTCATGAGCTTTATGCACGCTGAAAGCGGGCGATCCAGGATCGGGAGTATTGGCTCGCTTGAATGCTATCTTGACGGATTGTCTGGCCAATTCATGAACATCCTCCAAACGTTCGCTTTTGACGCCATTCAATACTTCTATTTCTGCTTCTTGTTGAGACTCGTTCTGATTGTCAACAATCTCGATAACTTCTTGTGCCGGTGTTGTTGCGTCCTTTCTACTATTCCTTCTGCGTTTCGGTTTCTTCTCGACGTGTTCCTCCACATCATCGTCGTCGTCAGAGTCATCTAGACCTGCGTAAGTGGCAGGTGATCGTTGTCGTTTTGGGTAATTGTGTTCTTCTCCCATGGCCATAAGTCTCGCAAGGGAAGGCGATCTTTTTCTTTTCGACTGTCTCCTTGCATTTTCCTGCTCTTGTTGAACGAGGTTGTACTCTTGCCCGCCAATCTCAATGACGTGGCTTTTGGTTGGCGATTTGGGTTTCCGCTGCAGGTATTTGTCCGCCGACGGCTTCTTGTTTTCGTCTTTGCCGACAGTTGCATCATTTTGCGCCGCAGCAGAGTCTCTTCGTGTTCGTTTCCGAGACTGGACGCTGCATTCATCCAGATCTGACTTGAGGTTCTTTTGAAGACGACTCACAGAAGTAGGGGCCCATCCTTTTTTCCGTTGAAGAGGAGGAGAATTGAGCAAACTTCGTTCTTTTTGCTTTGAACCCTTCTTCCTTCCCCGCTTGCCATTCTTCTTTTGGTTGTTGTTGTTGTTGTTGTTATCGTCGGCAGGCAACGAGAAGGTGACGCAAGTTTTCTGTGTATCCGCACTACCGAGATTCTTCGACACGGTCCGCCTGGTCTTGTATTCGCCATTGTCGGGTGCTACTGCCGGCGCTTGTGTGATACAGGTTTTCTCCGTGTCAACGCTGTTTGGGTTGCTCGACAAGGTAGTCTCCTCTCTGTCGTCTGCCACTGGTTCTTTGGGAGCATCGTCCTGATGTTGCTGCTCTGGATCTACGCTTGGCACTGTCTTGAGAATCTCTTCCGTCCAGAGTTGTTGGTCGTTTGCGTGATGTGTGCTGGATTCTGCCGGGTGCTCTGGGAGATCATTGTTCTCTACTTCGGTGAGGTGATGTAAGTTGTCATTTTTCGGGACTTCCACGGGTCCCAGTGCTTCGTCAGTCGTTTTCATGCCATCAGGTTCGAAAATGGATTCTTCCACCGGCTTTAGCAACTCCCGTTCCTCATCAAACTGGGCGGCCTCAAAGAAGACGGGTGCTGCTGTGCTCTTGGTCCCATCCAGCGACGAAGAGGCCATTGTTGCCGTCGCAAAAGATCCCTCGGATCTGTCGCAGCCATCATCACTAGCACCCGCAAATGGCAACTGCTCCAACACGGACGCTTTGGGTTGTTGTTGGCTCGTCATGGACAAGGACGCCTCTGTCGTGGTTTCCGACACCATGGGTTGTTGTTGCGGTTGTAGTCCTCCAAAATTCAAACCAAGCCTCTGTAAATAAGAGGACATGTCAGCGTGCCCACGGAGTACGACGACTAGCGATGTGCCGCTTATTTGTTGCGAAGGGTCTCTTCCTCCTTGTGTCGTCTGTCTTTCGCGCGACGGAAAGTTAACAGATCCGTGCAGCGTTCCCAAAGACAACCCAAAATCCGAGCTAGCTAGTAATTGAATTCCTGTTGTCGTCGTCTCTCTGCTAATACTCGCCGACAGCCGCTCCTGATAACTAGCTAGTAGAGCACGCAGTAGAGTACCCAACACAGCCAATAGTGCACTATACTCGACTCCGCTGTTGTCTAGCCAGGAACAGCCCGAGTTAACAAAGAAGATGGATATCACGCTATCGCGCCGTTCGCGAGTTGATTTGCTCAAAGCGGGCCGATTCGAAACCGAAATCCGTAGGGAAAGGGTTGGATTGGATTTGCGAATGAAAATGACAGAGGCTCCATGTGGTACCGGTAGATGAAGCGAAGCAGCACTCTGCTTCACTGCGACAGGCTTTGCTACTAGCTAGTAGAGCTACTGGTGGGATGGTTCAGCTGGTTATTGCTCCAGGTTCGATTCCTGGCGTCAGTACCTGCCCGTGAGGGTGGGTAGGGTCTTCCTGCTGGTAAGTTTGCAGGTTTCGCCCGAACCGGTTCCAGGTGTGATTACGAAGGTAATATCTCGTGTTACAGTTGTTGCTGGGATGCTGAAGAGCTTTGGGTCTAGGGCTTGCGAACGATTAATTAGTAACGTAACCCTCGGGACAAATGGAATTACGAAGGTTGTGCTTCGTGTTACAAAGTACCGAGTCTGTGCGTTGGCTTTAGAAAGTCTCTGTTATGAAAAATATCTCCGTGGTTACCATACGGCACTTAACACGTGTTAATGTATCTGGGGGCTACCGGTACTTCACACGGTAGTGTGTCCTTAACAAGGTTAGGCATAATAAATAACAAGATCTCTGATCTTTGCTACTAGCTCTAGCTAGAGGCCAGCTGACAGAGCTAGCTAGCTGACAGATCACCTCTCTAGTAGTAGCTACGGTATGGCAAGAGCTACATAGATGGTGGCCTGTCCCACGCCACTAGTAAGTAGCTCGCTACAAGCTACAAGGACAATGTCTTTGGATCTCCTTACAGCAATGTTCTGAATTCAGATTGGCTTCTCCCAGATACGGTAGCTGCCAAAGTGCTCATCAGCCAGGTATCCTTCCAAGCCAGAAATTAGGCTGTAGCTAGCTGGGTTTGTGGGCTCTGCTATCCACAGTTGCATTTTGATTGGCCGAGGTGACCACACTCAGCTAGCAAAGCACAGAAGGATCGTCAGGGTGTCTTTTTTGGATGCCTCTACATCTCTACATATAGTACCATGCACTCCATGGTATCATAGGGTGATTCCAGTCTGGAGGATTAGCCGGCCACATGTAGCTGCAGCCAGCTCTTTCAGAAATAGAAGAACTCCAGCTTGCTAGTGTGAACGTCTGCTGTTTCTACCATGAGGCGACTAATTGTTCCTCTGCACTTGCTGTGGCTGACTTGTCAAAACCGAGTACAGGAGGAAACAATCTCATCTATGGATGCCTTTTCATTGTGCAGCTCTAGCTAGCTAAGTACTACTGAGTAGTAGATACATAGAGAAGAATGCTGTCCCAGCTAGTTCATCTTGGCTCCAGTCAAGTCATTTCATTCACAGCAATGACTTCAGTCACACATTTACTTTCTGTTGATTTTTCCACATGCTCCAAAGAGAGCAACATTGAGCAGTATCCATGGACACATGTTTGGACAATGTAGACAATTGCTTATGACTTAATCACACAGGTTTAACACATATGCTTCCAGTGGAATGCTTCAATGCAGGGCGGAAGTGATGCACCGGCAACCTTTCCTACGAGAAATACCCTTGGCACTAGTCTAACTAAGTCAAATACAGAAGTGCCACTGCTTTTGTTGAGACTTGGATAGCTGTGTAATAGCTCCTGGCAAAAGTTTCTATCTCCCCAGCACATCTTCGATCACTGCTAGAACTGGAATGGATTGGATACATCAGAAGAGAATTCTAGCTAGGAAAGGGTACAAAGGCAGGATAGCATGGAAGGAATGATGAGGAATATGCCAGGCTGGGTATGTGATGAGTTTAAGAAGATAGAACAGAGGCTAGAGCATTGAAGATGAATTGTTGGGTGGACAGGTGAATAGTTGAGAGTGCAATAGTTGAGTGCAGGTGTTGAGTCCTTTATGTGATAAGCCATGTTCTTGCAAGTAAAATTGGTAGGGCAGGGGATTTGGTGGCAAGGTGGCAGAATGTATTGTTTTGTGATACTGGTATGAGGAATAAGACCAGCTGGGCCAGAGGGAGATGTTCGTAGAAAGGCATTATGATAAAGTTAATCTGATACACAATCACAGGTTCCTTTTCGCACCTTTCCCAGACTAGTATCCACCTGTATTCAAACATTCGAAGAAGTGAGAAGTGATGATCCAAAGGGGTGCCCATCAGATGAGGCAGGCTGCTGTGCAACTGATTTATCCATTTTTCAAGCTATGTATCCCTGTGGAGCCGGCTTGTTGTCAACATGAGGAGTTGGTTGGTATTTTACCCTTAGTTTGGCAAGGGAGGATGTCTCTTCGATTGAATCAGTGCTGGCTGCTGGTTGAATGAAACCAACCATACACTCCCCTGCACAACCTCAGCAACTAAGAGCTTTTAAAAAGCCAAGCCTTCTACCAGGTAACATCTATGATCGGTAGACTTGTGCAAGCGTCTGCACTACTGTACGGTAAGCTGCTTGACCAAGAACCAATCGAAGCCGTCTCAAGTTTCGTGGACATTTCAAAGGTTTATGGTTGGTTGCTCAAAGCAGGGACAATTGGTATTTTTAACAATCGGTACCGGTATGTACCGGTCGGCTCCCCATAGTTTGAATAGCTTTCCTGGCTTCTGTATGGCGCAAGACGATGTCACGACCTCCACAAGCTTCAAGCACTCTTCGCCGTTGCTTTTCATTCCGACAAAAAAAGAAAGTTTGATCACCAATCAATCGATCAGGTGAGTTTTGGCCAGTGTCAATGTCACGAATCGAATCCATTTGGTCTCGTGCAAGCTAATGGCCTTCTCCCTCGATAGCCGCTACCTACGGTACGACCTACCAACGATTTGATCAAATCATTTGATCACGTTTTTAAAATAATAGATAGAAGTTAGTCTGACGTCTCTTTCCTGAGTCCTGAATACGCAAGAGTGCCAAAGAGAAAGTGCTGTGAGCTCTCTTTCTCACGGTGAGAAAGTGCCGTACATGTATGGGCGTTTCAGACAACTAGCTACCTGGTGGTACCGTACCGCGGCTAGCTAGCCAGGGAATCCATTATGAAAGGAAATCCGCCCCACCAAAGCCAGCCGAGAGGTGCTCCGAAAGGTGCGCGGCGCACACCACTCAAGACTATACTCACGAATGCGTTACCTGATATGGAAGCAATCATGAACACAATGACACTACCACGTAGAGCAAAACGTCAACGAAGAGAGGACAATGTCGAGGTAAGAAGCGCTGTTGCTGGGAAATCTGAATGGTCAGCTAAAGCAGAACTCACGGATTGATTTCTTTGTCATCAGGACCAAGCCACACAGGGGCGTAGCCTCAAAGAGGCCTCATCGGACTCCTGCTGCTCAAACACAATGCATTGGGGGTGGTGGCTTGTTCAGCAAAAAACTCAGTTGGATGGCACTTGGAGTTTCTGTCATTGTGTTGCTTGATGTTGGTGTTCAACTATATGGAAGTCAGCGACAGCTATCACACATGGCTAGCCAAACAGACTTCTCAGTCTATCTTCCATCCACCGCGAACTTCACTTCATACCTTCCATCAACCAAGGACTTGTTTGGTCTCATTGAAGATATTGATTTCACGCACCCCATCACTGTACTTTCGGACACAAAGGAAAAGGAACGTGGGCCTGCAATTGCTGTGCTCCTTCCAAACCATGAAGAGGACTTTATGAAGTTCCAATCAGCCATTCTTACCCTGGACGAGAACCTTGCAGACAACCAAGAAACACCTCTCTTGCTCTTCCAGGAAGGAAACATCTCACCTGAAACACAGAGCTGGATACAAAACATGACTAGGAGACCAGTGCACTTCCCTTTCATTGATTTTCAAGAATTCCCAAAGAATTTCAACTCAAAAAAACGCGGGGGCTTAAACATGAAGGGTCGTCCAAACCGGGTAAGTTCAAGAGAATGAGCAAGTGTGCCATGTTGCTTTGAATGCTGTCATCCTGATGCTTCTTCTTCCTCCAACTCCCAGTGGGGTTACTGGCAAATGTGCCGCTTTTGGATCACAAGGATATGGGAACATCCTGTCCTAGATGACTACTCTACCATCATGCGCATCGACACTGACTCCTGCTTTTTGAACTCAACTGAAGGGACCCCACTCCCTCGCCTGCCCTCGGGTGAAGACAAGGTTTATGCAGCACACACTAGCAATCACCCCGCCTTCTCCACCAAGGGTTTGTATGAAACTACCCTTGAATACATCAATGCAACCAATCACACTCCAGTCAACATGGACATGTGGAACTCAATTCCACACTTTAGACGCAGGCGCCGGGCTTTACCATGCTTCTACAACAACTTTGAAGTCACATCTGTTGACTTTTTCCGTAGACCTGATGTCATGGCCTTCCAGAGACGCATTACAGAAGAACCTCCTTTTGGTGTCTTCTATAGCCAATGGGGAGATGCTTCTGTTCGATTCTTGACTGTGGCTCTCTTTGCTCGGCCTGATCAAATTGCATGGGGATTGAACAAGCAGTATGGCCATGCAGGTGAATGTAAACACCTCTGGGGCAGAGGTTCACTTGCTGGCCAACAGGAGCCCCGCCAAGCCACAAAGGAAGTCATTCAGTGGCTGGAGAAACACAGCGTGTCTCAAACTACACATTGTCCAGAAGGCACCAGCATTGTTGATGTCACCAAAGTTTTATCTGCCCCACGAGACAACAGGTTCAATTGTGACTTTGGACGCACCCTGCCTCCCATCAACTACTGTGGAAATATACTCAGACCTTCTCACCATCCATACCGCTGGGAGTGTCGCCTCAAGAAGCGTTTGTTTGAGCGCATCGACCAATTTGCACTTCGACAAGCTCCATTTCTCATGCTGGACCTCGGTAGTGCCTATGCTGATTGGGTATTGGCTACAGGGATGTATGCCCCTCGAAGTCGGCTCGTTCCAATTGAAGCCAATGCCGCTCCCTTCAGAAACATGTACAAGCATCTCATGGTAAACCCTGGATTGGTGGATCGGGTCCATGGTCTCAATGCTGCTGTCATGTCAAATGATCGCTTTCCCAATGAAGCCAAATCGCCACCACTAGTATCGGACAATGCATGGAAGGGACCTGTGCTCTGTGACGACGGGACAGACAAAGCAGGAGTGATGGACACTGTCACTACCAAAGCAGATTCTTGTACCACAGCAGAACTACGCGTTCCCATTGTCACTATTGACATGGTCGTTTCAGCACACACCCGAGGCACCCTTTTCTTTATGAAGATTGACTTGGAAGGAGCCGAATACGAATCTCTCAGAGGAGGCAATGCTACCTTTTCGGACCCTGACAGTCGTCCATGCATTGTGATTATTGAACTGAAAGTGAATGTAGACAAACCATACAAGGAGGCCTTTGATTTCATGGTGGCAATGGGCTATACAGACTACGAGGACCTTGACTCTGGCATCACGGGAGCAGACTCGTGGCCACCAAGAGGCCTGTTGTTTGGAAATGAAGGCAACTACGAGTTCCGGTTGCCAAAGGCGGAGCTGGACTTTTGTACAATGCGAGTTCTACGAGAGTCACAACAAATGATGGACTAGCATGGTGGGTTTCCTGCTGTGGGTATGCTAGCTATCATAGTGCCCACGATTAAGCAGCTACTAGTGCTCAACGTTTGGCTACGTTTGTTCTCTGTTTCGTTGTACGGCACCGCCACCAAGGCCAACAGAGAAGGGGGACACAAAGAGGCGTAGAAAACACACTCGTTCGATCATCGAGCAAACCTGCACCGACGCCTCGGGTTTCATTCTGTCTTTTTTGTTTCACACATCAATCGTTTTCCTTTTCGCGGTGATATGGTTGGTTAATCAATCAAGTAGTAGCAAAACTGGCAACTATTGGATGTCGCCAAACTCTGTATCGGTGCTCGTTTAGGGCGATCCGGGCCGATTGCCATGTTTGTTGGGGAGATAGTATTCTTCCGAGGCCAAGTGGTCGTCGGCTGGTTGATGCCGTTCGTTTCAAACGACGGCGGTGTCTTCCATTTGCAATTTCCGGGACGAGGGTCGAGTCCTTGCGATGCGTACCTCCACGGTAGCACCATGACGTACTCTCGATCCCGAGTGCTCTGTTCGTTTCCTGTTGTGCTTGTTTGTTTGCTTGCTTACGCTCCATCGGCCTTGACGTGTTTCTTGCTGGCACGTTTTTTGACGGGGCTCATTTCACCCATATCGGACTTGCTCCGTTGCATGCCCTTTTTGGTCTTTTTCTTGGTCTTTTTGCCGTCACCATCGCTTTTGGCTCGTTTGGGAGGTTTTTTACTCTTTTTCTTCTTGACTTTCTTGCCGCCATTTTGTTCCAAAGAGTACGCCGTCCAATCGAAGCCACCTTTGGCAACGAGCTCTTTCTTGGCCTTCTTCTCTCGAGACTTCTTTTTCTTCTTGTCCTTTTTCTTTTTATCCTTTTTCTTTTTGGCTTTTTTGTTCTTTTTGCGCTTGTGATGATGTTCTTCTTCACCGCCCTCTTCATGCTGGAGTTCTCCTTGACTGGTATTGAGATGTCCAATACTAACTCCCAATTTGGAGTATTTGTTTGATTTCTTTCGCTGCTTTTTGGTGGGTGACGGCGGTGCCTTTGGTTCTTCTTGATGATGATGATGATGATGATTGTTGATATTGCTCATGCTATTGTGATTGCCTTGATTCTTCTTTTTGAGAAAGGCGAGGAACCGTTCATGAGCCGCCCCATCGACGTTCATGACTTGCGTGACCGTCTTGACGTTTTGTTCCTGTCTCGCCACTTCATCATCATTGTCGTCACCGGAGAATTCGTCCTCTCCACCGTCCTCTTCCGACTCGTACTCCGAAGACGTCGAGTCTTCATCCGAGAAATCGTCTTCGTCACTGGAAGAGGACTCTTCGTCCGACGAATCGTCCGAGTCACTCTCGGACTCTTCCGAAGACGACTCGGATTCCTCCTCTTCTTCTTCCTCCTCCTCTACGGCTTCTTCCACCTTGAGACGCTCCTTTTCGGATCGCGGTGACTTGAAGGATTTGCGACTCTTTCGTCGTACTTTCCGTTGTGTGGGTGCTGGCTGCGGGGGCGATCGGCTGACGTGTTCTTCTAATGCCTGTTGTTGCTGTTGCATCGCTTCCATTCTCTTTTTCTGCATGGCTAGTTTGAGTTGATGCTGATCAATCACGTCTTCGGGCTGATGATTGTTGTTGTTGTTGTTACTGCTAGTACTAGTAGTAGTAGTACTAGCGATGGCCGCTGTGGCAGCATCCCAACTCTTGCTGGTGTTGCCACCGGTACTGCTCACATGATTATACACAGAAGTGCTCTTTTCGGGCAAAAAGAGATCATCTTCATGGTCTTCCGAGTCGCTGTCTTCATCTTCGTCCGACCAGCCTCCATCGGATTCATCGGATTCAGAAGATTCATCACAGTGACTGCTGCTCTTGGTGGCCTCGTCTTCGCTCATGGCATGGCTACTGCTGTGGTTGCTGTTCTCGTCATCAAACGATATGGCCATTGGGGATCCCTGTATTACAGCTGTGGACATGAATGAAGTAGTGAGATCTAGATACTAGCTACCGGTAGCTAGTAGTGGGTTTGACTCAAAGTTGGTTGGTTGGTTACGTATGGTTTGTTTGGCGTGAAAATGGAGAGAGGCCAGGATACCCCCACGCAAAAAGACGATCTCTTCTATTATGCTGAGCCGTTGCTGCCACCAGGACGATAGCCAAATCAGCAATTCCCAAGCAAAGTTCGTACGGTACGGTACCGGTAAAAGCTTTGTACCATTCGTAAGTTGAACATGGCATTATTCCCAGAACAAAGATTTATAGACGCCAGAAACCCTCCAATACCACGAGCACGGCATTACACAATCCCACATTCTCTAGAGCGAAGTATTTATTGTATTATGCGTGGTTGCAAACTTGGATTTAAGCAAGTCATTGTGACTAGAAAATGGCATTAGCACGAGCTAAGCAACCACGATCCCATGACAGCACATCAGAGCACAGCTCGTTGTTTTGGTCCCTCCCAGACAGCTCGAGAGCTGTGTCGCGTTTCCTCTGTTCCGGTGTGCGGCTGAAGCCCCTGCCTGAACACTCCCAGCAACCAGATAGCCGCCCTCCCGAACTACTAGTACTCTCTGAAGGAATGAATCATACCTGGTACCGCATGGACCTTGGAAAATCTTTCATACTTGTTCTACAATGAAGCTTCCGTCCCAAAAGGACCTAAAGGAGGTGGATTGATTCCGGACGCCACGCACCTCGGGCTGGTCCACTGACACCGAGGGGCAGTCTCCGGCCAGCTCTCCGGCCACAGTGCACGATGCAGTGAGGCTTCGGGCATAGTCTTAGTGCTGTATCCAGATCCCGATCAGCCTCGATATCTGCCTGGGATGGAGATGACAATTAGGCGGGGACCGGCGCGGGAAAACCTAGCTAGCACCATGTGCAAAGCTTCACCCATCCTCGTCTTTGTTGTATTTTGGTGAAAAGGCGGGAACCAAACCCAGCTCGAAGCTCTTCAAGATATCGCTCTCTTCCCCGTAATGCTTGATGATGGCAAGACGGGCCACGATGGCGACCTGACGAGCACCAGTGATCTCGGGAGCATTGTCGCTTTGCTTGACCGTACGGATCGTATCCACAAACTTGGCAATGGCTTCCAACAATTCGTTCGGGGAAACGTGACCTTCGGTGTCATCTGGGGAGGGAGGAGGCCCAATGAATTTGTTGAGTATGGCTGCGCGTTCGGCGTCATTCTTTCTGACCAGCAGCATCTTCAGAAGATCCACACTATTGATGCTCCGCTTTTTCGAATCTTCCTCCGACTTTTTCTCTTCCACATCTTCGTCGGGGGAGACTCCTTTCTTGTTCTTCTTCTTTGACTGCTTTCGCTGCTCCTTGGCGTACTTTTTCCAGTCAAACGACGGGGGTTCCGTGCCTGGGCCTCCCCCTTGCTGTTGCGTTGCGCCATTGGCGCCATTCGGTGTTCTAGCTTTTGTGAATTTCTTCCAGTTGAATAAACGTGTGTCTGGATCGTCGGCAACTGGCCGAAGTGTATATTGCTCTATCAATTCATCGTCGTATGGCAATAGATCACCGCCCGAGCCAAGGTTTGCTTGATCGTCTGTGCCGCTTGTCGACGCCTCTGTCGTCGACTTGGATTCCGCCGCCTTCTCATTGTCAGCCTTTCCGTCTTTTGCAAACTTCTTCCAATCAAAGAATAGCTCTGGGTCCAAGGCGGGGGGCAGATCTCCATTGAGAGGCTCTCCTGGAGGCGCTTCATTGGCGGGTGCTTGTCGCTTGATGCCACCTTCTGTCATGACTCTTCTTGCAGTCTCTTTGGCCCAGTCATAAAAGTCTTCGGGCATTCCAGGATGATCCCTGCTGCTACTCGTCTTTGGTGCTTCGTCATCACCCTCTCCAAGTAGATCTGCGCGGAGACTCTGCAGCATCATGTTCACAGCCGCTTTCGCTTCCTCTGGGTCTCTGTCGCCAATCTCTTGTGTGAGCTTTGACACGAGAGCATCTTCCAAGTCACCTACGGTTAGATCTTCAAGGTCCAGTTCCAATTCCATGCTACCCTCCGACCCCTCGTCGTCTTCCTCTTCTTCCTCCTCCTCTGAACCCGATTCTTCCTCCTCATCGCTGTAGTCTTCCTCCTCTTCTGAACCCGATTCTTCCTCCTCGTCGTCGCTGTATTCTTCCTCGGAGCCCGACGCTTCCTCCTCCTCGTCGTCGGAGTATTCTTCCTCATCTGAATATTCTTCTTCTTCCTCTGCCTGCTGGTGTTTCTTCTTCTTTTTAAGAACCCTAATGTCCTCTTCGGGTAACACTTCATCGTCTTTTGTTTCAGAGTAGGTGAGCCAAGCCGAGGCAGGATCGTGGTATTCTGCTACTTCTTCGTCCTCGTCCTCGCCGTTCTGCTTTTTCTTCTCTCCTCCTCCTCGTCTTCCTCTTCTTTCCTCCTCCTCGTCTTCCTCGTCAGATTCTTCTTCCTCCTCCTCTTCGGATTCTTCGTCCGATGCCTCGTCCTCGTCATCCTCTTCGTCCGAATCGCTAATACTTTTGGCACTCTCACTATCGCTGGCAAAGGAAGCTGTGCCAGAGCTGCCGCTGTCGCCGTCCTCTGCATCATCATCGGATTCCTCTTCTTCTGAATCAGGTTCCTCCTCCTCTTCGGATTCTTCGTCTGAGTCGTCATCATCGCCGCCGTCTTGCTCCGCCTTTGCTTTACGGTCTAGAAACACAAGAGCGTGCGGTAGTGAGTAGAGTGCCATGAAACAAACCTGGATATAGCAACGGCGACATTTCACTCAGCAGACTCACCTGCACGTCGGCCTCTTCGTGGCTTTGATTTCGCTTTTGATTTCGCTTTTGATTTCGTCTTTGATTTCGTCTTTGATTTCGCCTTCTTCTTCTTGGCTTCCAAAATTTCCTGAGGCAATGCCGTGCCTTCCAACATCGCAACAGCCGATTCTCCCGCCCCGAAATCATCATCCGCGCCGTCAGTGTTGTCGTCAAAGAATGGCATTTCTTCGTCATCGCTACCAACGGGCACAGGCTCATCATCGGAATCATACGAGATACCTAATCGATTGACGTGACGCCGTGACTTGTTCAGCTCTTGGTCAATCGAGTCTTCTTCTTCCTCTCCTCCGCTCCGCATCGGTGTGCCTGCCAAGACATCAAAATCCTCTTCGTCCTCCTCGTCTTCGATCGCTGTATCAGCTCCAAGGAGAGATGACATGCTAGCTTCGTTGATATCTTCCTCAAAATCATCCTCATCTTCGAGGCTTTCAATTTCGACCTCAACTGGTTCGGCCTCAAGATATTCATCTCCTTCTAGGATTGCGTCATAATCATCGTCGGGAGGAATTTCGTCGACGATGTCAAAATTTTCCGTAGAAGCTTCCCCAAAGCCTCCGCGAAGATCGTCGGGAGGGAATTCATCCTCAATTTCAAAATTTTCCACAGAAGCATCCCCAAAGCTTTCGCCACGCGCCAGCTCAACCATCTCGACACTCAAGTCGGAATCCGAGAGACTAGCGTCGTCAGTTGGGAAAACGACTTGGCTGTATGTCGCCGCTTGCCCCTGCCGCATTTCTTCGTCGCTGTAGTCGAATTCAATGTTATCGTCCCCCGCTAGGTCATCGTCAATGTCAAGCATCGGATCTGTCTCGTCGGTGTAGGCATCAATTCCATCGTCGATGACAATTTCCCCTGTCATGTCCACATCACTTTGTCGTCTCCCTTTAAACGAGTTCAGGAAAGGATCGCTGTCGCTAAGAGAATCAATGCTATCGGCCAAAGAAAGATTTCCTTCACTGCCACGTCTGTCAGGACCGATAAGATCCTCAATATCCATCTCTGGTCCTTCCGTGACGGCATCCCCAGCCTCCCCGTTGGCTGCTATTTCCGGTGGAGAAGCACCCCCCGGCTCTTCGTCTTCTTCATCCGAGCTGTCCGGTTCGTCGATATTTGGATTGTGTGGTTCTAGAGCAATTAATGCTCCTAAGGCGGCAATCGAAGGCGCATCTGTAGATTGTGGAGCCGCAGTTTCAAACGGCGAAGTTATTCCATCGTCGTCCTCGTCGTCGCTATCATCAATCGAATCGCTTTCCTCTAGATGAATTTCTTCCTCGGCGGAACTGGTCTCGGTCAAGTCGAAACTAGGGTCACGGGTCAGGGAAACTACGCCAGTCTCATCCGCATTATTTGTTGAATTGTTGTT